CTCATCTGCTATAGTATACGAGAGCCGAGCCTGACTGCCTGAGCGTGTGCTAGCGCGAGCCACGAGCGAGAGGCAGGGCCGCGAGCGAGCGTGAGGCCCAAGAAGGAACGCGGCCCATGCGGCCAGCGACAGAGACGGGATCAAGGGACAATGCCGACACCAATACAGAATTACGAATCGAGGCAGCGCGTCGGTTGGACTTCGAGTGTTCGCCCTATCCTACACCGACGCCAATACAGATTGTTCACGCCATCAGCTGTCGCCCTACCCTACGACGGCACCGGCCACTCGTCCTTGTGACCTAGTGTCCCGTTTGGCCTTCGGCCTGTCCTACGACGGCCCCAGCCATCGGCATCTAGGTGAATTTGTGATCGGAATTGTTTAGGTGAGATTCAATCTTTGTTGTTCGGCTTTTTTAAAAATTCATGTGTACTTTTAATTGTTAATTGCTTAGCGCTAAAATTATAGAATCATCTATCACGTGGCGAGGTGGAGGATTTTTCCCAATATCAGAGTCGATCTAGATTGATCTTTTGTTTAGTACTCGTATCATGTGAGTGATCCATAATCACATGTGAGAGTTCAATCGTGCAAGAGCAATTTATTTAATTATTTGACACTATGTTCTTTGTAATATTTATGCAGTTATGAAGAGAAACGGAGACATTGCATCTCTTTTTCAGAAGCATGCAACAAAGAAGAAGGCAGTGGCAGCTACTACTAGTTCTAATCCTGATCCGGTTGAACCTGTGGTGGAAGAGCAGACTCATGAGAGAGTAGTTGAGGAAATTGTAAATCCTATGCCACCGCAACCACCACCACCACAACCGTCTTCACTGCCACCAGTTTATGACATCAATCGCCTTTCACATGATACAGGTGAAAGACGTCCTATTCTAAATTATCCTGGTAATGATCCAGATGCAATTCAAAGAACATATATTATTAAAGGTCCATTCAAACCTTTTGCACATGATTTTCAAAAAGAAAGATTTCAGATAGGGATCTAGGATTCAACTATTGTTGGATGTACAATAATGATTGGCTTGAGTATAGTATTAAGAAGGATGTTGTGTTTTGCTTCATATGCTCTTTGTTCAAGAAGGGTACTAGGTCAGACACATTTACTGTTGATGGATGAAAGAATTGGAAAATATGAGAGAAAGCACTTCGCAAACATATGGGTTCTAAGGCACATATTGCAGCTCAAGAGAGATACAATGGCTTTACAAATCCCAAGGTAGCAATTGATTATAATATTAAGAAGTGGAGTGATGAGGATCTTCGTCTTTATAAGAAAAGGTTGACTTATTCACTTAGGTGTATCAAGTTTTTTTGCATCAAGGGTTGGTGTTTCGTGGACATGATGAAAGTGAAGAATCTAGCAACAGAGAAAACTTCATTGAACTTTTGAAATTTCTTGCTGGAAATAGTGAAGAAGTATGTTTTGGACAATGCTCCAGGTAACTATATACATTTTGTGACCGTAGCGTTTGAGAACTTTGAGTTTGTTTTCTTTACACACTTAATGTATATTATTCTTGGATATACAAATGAATTATCTGAGTGTTTGCAAAGAAGGGACCAAGATATTCTTAATGCAATATCACTTGTTAATGGGGCAAAGAAAAAAATGCAAGAATTGAGGTCTGATTTGGAATAATTTTCTTGAGAAGGTCACTTTATTTTGCGATAAACATGGTGTTGAAGTTCCTGCTATGGATGGTGATTATGTTCCTTATGGAAAATGAGCAAGGAAAGCTCGTGCCTGAAAGCAAACCAATGATGACTACTTTAGAAGAGAAGTATATATTGGTGTCATTGATCAAATAAATCAAGAACTTGATAATTGGTTTGACGAGATTAATATGGAGTTGTTGTCTTATATGTCGGTCTTCTGTCCTTCCAAGTCATTTGCTTCTTTTGATACATAGAAGCTACGTAGACTAGCTGAGTTCTACCCAAAGGAGTTCTCAAATAATAATTTGCTCAAACTTGAATTGCGGCTAGATAATTATATTGATGACATGAGACAGGATAATAGATTCAAAGGTCTAGACAATATTGTTGATCTCTCAGTTAAGCTTGTTGAAACAAAGAGGCACAAAGTGTATGATATGGTTTATGAGCTCCTCAAATTGGTATTGCTTCTACCTGTGGCAACGACAAGTGTTGAAAGTGTATTTTCTGCAATGGTTTTTGTGAAAACAAAGTTAGGAAATAAGATGAAGATAGTGTTCTGGATGACTGTCTAGTCACTTTCATTGAGCGGGATATTTTCTTTGAAGTTGATGAAGATAATATAATCAATACATTTATGTCCCTTCAAAAGCGTCGAATAAAATAGTCACAAAAATAGCATTGTAAGTCTCCGGTTCTCTTTTATGCCTTATTTCAATGTGTGGCTTTTGAAAAACTATTTATACTATACTTAATGGATGGTTTGAACTTAATCCATGAATTTAAGCCTTATTGTGTTATTTAGTGCATATATACCTAATCATGTTGTCAATTTTATAATTAGGACCGAATTGCTGAAATGGATTTATCGAATTATATATAAATTTTTTTGGATGGCATACCCTTAGACAAAATCTTAGATTCGCCACTGGATGCTACCACTACCAGAGAAGTATCTTAGCCTTAGTTTCTGCCAGTGTGCAACGCACGCCTGGGCACAGAAAATCTACTTCCACAAGTGATCCCTTCACTCTGTTCAAAAAAATACAAGAGCACTTGACAATGAATCGTAATTATGTTACTGTACTCGACTAACAGCATCGCGGTTACCTCTTGTTCTCCGCTTGTGGGATATAAAAAGAATGGTGTAGCTAAGATTGAGTGGTCCACCAACTTGTCGAGTAGCTAACTCATGTGCAGCTTTTGGTCCAATTCCTGCATCATCTGCCATTTCAATTTCAAAAGCTTGCAAATCTGAAATTTTTCTTTATGACGCCAATAAATGTAAGGTTTGTGGCAAATGTAGTGTGTGATTGTGTTCCAGAAACAACCTAGACACTTTCAGAATTTACTTCTTTCGGTCTATATTAAGATTCATGTGGATTTGACATTCAGTTCTAGTTTCAGCGCGAGGGCACTTTGACAAATGATCTCTTTTATCTTTCCAGCGATGCCCCTCATTTGCACATACAAATCTGCATGATGTAACATTGCCATCAGATGGTCTTTTGTTTGTAAACCTTCTTCTAACCTCAAAACCTTTGTGACCAGCATACAAAAGCCAGAAAGCCCAAGCCTCATCTGAATTCTTAAATTCCATGCCAACATGAGGTTGCAAACCACACATCAAGCTCCCCTGTACAGAGGGAAGAAAAATACTATAGTGGCTATGCTGATCGGAAAAATTCAGAACCATGATATGATCATTGATTGAAAAAAATGCAAAATCATGAAATTGTATTACACACCTATCTTCATTGATCTTGGGACTGTTACAGTTGCTTTGATGGCATGGCTCGGCAACATTTTCGGCAAATTGGGCTCCAGCAGCATCATATGCATTCTGACATGACAAGAGACATTAAGTATCAAATGACCAAGTTGAATAAAATGCAAAGAAAAATCTAAAGTTTAGGTTATATCCACACATCAACATCGTACCGTTTGTTGCTGATCTTGAGCAGGTTCAGGTGTTGGTATTGGACCATACGTGGGTTCAGTGAAATAGGATTGTCTCTGATGGTTAGGTGGGGATTCATCCATATCAGAAACAGGGCAGCTCTGACTCATTTTGATGTTAATGCATAGTCAATTCCATCTAAAAAATTTCTTCATCATCACCCTAGAAATAAGACGGCTCTAATCAATTTTGAGGCATCGGATTCTTCCATGAGAAAAGGGAAAACAAGAAGTTTGAAACAACATGCTAATAGAAGTTCAATCAATTTCAAAGAAGCAGGAAAATATATCAGAACCAAATGACTAACGCACAAGATCGAAGCAGAGAAGCTCCCGTCCAGCGATTGCCTCCTTGGCTCCCCTCGTTGGCGCCGTTTCCGTCGGCGGCGACCTATTTTACTGTCGCTCGCGCCTTTTTTTTTTTTTCCGTCCTCGCTTCTTTTCTCTCTCGTATAGGGGTCAGTAAACAAGTGGGCCTTGTGCAATTGGGCCGTGGCTCAGTGGACGTTCGTCTCCCGCGAGCGGACGCTCGTTGATGGCCAGGAACGGCGCTGCTGTTTCTACGCCCGTCTGACATAGAAGCTTGTATGTTAGACGATCTGATTCCCAGCGCACGTACCTATATATGGTTCGCGCGATCGATCTCGTCAACAATGTGGGCAGTAGGCTGCGGAGACGAAGCTGACGATCGAGGAGGCTGCTCTTGCCGCGCGCTGGGCGCAGCTGCCACGCAGGGCCACCAGCTGGGAGAGGCGGAGCACGGAGGGTTGGGACCGGGAGGCTGGGAGGGGAAGCCGTCGCCGCCTGTGGTGCGCCGTGCCACAGGGCGGTGCGTGGTCTGCCCTAAAGCCTAGTTCCCCTGGCCCACGTGGGACAGTTCGGCCCTGTCCGCCCTAAAGTCCAGTTCGCTCGTTGGCCGCCGCCTCTTTCCTCGTGCTGTCGTCTTACAACGGCTCCAGTAGTCCCGTCTTCAACCTTTGACAGTCGGAAGTCCTGCTCTCACCGGAGGGGAGGTATGTCGGCCGCCCTACCTCGCCCTATGGGTCGGTTCGCCTGTGTGTGGGCTCGCTGTTGCCTGTTGGATACCGATCGAGTCCCCGTCCACGTCGAGGGAGTCCGCGGTTCTAGTAAAAAAAACCGTGGTTAAATACACCGACGGTTCTAGTAAATGTTTTTGATGAATTTGGTTCTCTAAGAAAATTTAATTAGGGTTTTCTTTACCGGCCCAGATTCACCGAAATTTTTGAAATTTCCGTTCTATGCACGGGGTTCGATAAATTCTTAAATTTTTATTTCCGATGATGAAAACCCTGGTATATATACAGGAGACAAGTGATGATGAAATGCCCTGTCGCTACTCGCTAGTTACTAGCGTGGCTGCCGTGCAGGAGGCCGTGCGCGATCCTGTCTCGCGCCGCCTGCACTGCCGGTGCGGGGGGCGCGGTGTCGTGAGCGACGACGTCACCGTCGTCGTCATCGAGCTCATACTGCATGAGATCGGGGTCGAGCTCCTCGCCGGCGCGTTCGCAGACGTTGTGCAGCACGCAGCAGGCAGCGATCATGCTGGGGAGGTCCTGCATCGTCACCTCGCTGCGGCGCTGTAAGCAGCGCCACCGCGCCTTGAGCCGCCTGACCGCGCCCCGCGCCACACCGCGCGCGGCGGCGACCAGCTCATTGAACGCGTGCTCCGTCCACGTCAGGTTCTGGTGCGCATACGGCACGAGCATCCAGTCTATGAGCGGATAGCTCGTGCCACCGACTAGCCGCTGCTCCTGCCCGTGGCCCCTAGGAGCCCGGAAAGAGCCCACCTGCCGAGCACGGCGGCGTCAGATAGCGATCCCGGCTCGATCCAGACGTCCGTGAACGCTCCGTCGGCGTCAGCAACCACCTGGACGGCGACGGAGTAGGACGCCTTCTGGCTTCGTTCCGTGAGGCCGCGGTCGTAGTACGCGGCGACGTTGGCCTTGGGCACGACGACGGGGACGCGCGTGGTGTAGACGGCTCCAATGATGCCAGGGAGCCCGTAGGCGGCCTCAAACCTGGTCGCAACGGTCGCGGCGGAGTCAGGCTCAGGCCAGGTGATGGTCTTGGGCCTGAGCACGGTGGCCAGGGCGTGGTAGACCTGGAGCACGATGCTGTGGCAGGTGGAGATGCCGAGGCCGAAGCGGCGGGAGACCTCGCGGAGGGGCTCCGCCGTGGCGAGGCGCCAGAGGCAGACGGCCACGCGCTGGCGCACTGGGATGGCGGTCCGCAGCGCGGTGTCCTCCTTGGCGACGGCGCCGCGGAGCGCGTCGCAGAGCGTGCCGAACGTGGCGCGCGACATGCGGAAGGCAAGCCGGAACTCGGCGTCCGGGCACGACGGCCCGTCCAGGTGGTCCCACCACTCGGTGCTCCGCTTCCGGACCCACACCCGGCGGCTTGCCCTGGCCCTATCTGGCGCATGGGCCTGGCCGCCGCTGCTCTCGCCGGGAGCGTCGTTAGACTGCGAGCTGCTTCTCGTCTGCCGCCGCCGTCTGTTGCCCGATCGCGAGGTGCTACCCGTGGCCCCGCCTTCGCCCGCGCCCGGGAATATTGATCCTTGAACCACACTGCTGGGAATGGGATTCACCGGAAGGTCAGCAAAAACCTGCGGCGGTAATGGCATCATCATCGCATCAACGGCCTGGTGGTGATCGTGTTCGTGGGCAGCAAATAAGAGCGGGATATTAGCAGAGTCGGCGTCAGCGTCAGCTGCGAAGGGCGCATTAGGCTGTGACGACCCAGGACCGACGTCGTCGTGCATGGCGAGGAGGGCGATGATGGAGGAAGAGAATTCAGCGTCGGGAGAGGCGAGGATGGTGGAGGAGTACTCGGCGTCGGCAGAAGCCGCGGTGGATGGGAAAGACGGCGGGCTGGGGAGACGGGAATGGCGCTAGGAAGGTGCCCATGCACCGAAGCTTCCCGTTCTGTGTGGCCTCTTGAGCTGCCTTTGCTTGGGAGCTGGGGTGGTGAGTGGTGACTGGTGAGGTTTTATAGGTATCGGGCAGACGTGGCACTGTGGCAGTGTGACGGTGTGGGTAGGAGTTTGAGATGTGCGATGTGTGTGGTGGTGGCCGGGCTGGCCGGGGCTGCGATTGGTGGCACTACTGTTCAGGTGCAGGTGCGCGTTTCTGAGTCATTCTGCTGACGTTTGCCACGACGGTCATAGTTGGCGTCACTCGCGTAAGGCCGCGGCTATTCGTTTCTCTTTGTGATTACACAGGATTGTTATTGTTAAAATTAAAAAGTTGTCATTTTCCATGTGTCTGATTTTTATATTGATTTTTGGCAACAATAAGTATTATTAGTATATTTCTATATAAATATAGTCAAACTTTAAAAAATTTGACTCTTTTCGAAAGGTATGCATTTATTTTAGAACAGAGGAGTATATATTATATATGCAGAAACACGTATCTCGTGGTGACGCTCGAGAAAAGTGGAGAATCTTATCAAACATGTCATCTATCATCGCGTCCGACTCCGTCATTACAAACATAAATTACGAATATGATTTTAGGCATCCCAGACCTCTCACCGCCGCTTGTGTACTGCACGACAAGTTCGTGGTCCCAAACAGGGTCTCTATATATGCCATAATATGATGTATATCAATAAGCTGCTGGTGACACTGACATTATATATGGCTGCGCCTGTAACACGGCTTAGTGCGTGGTGGTCCTAACAGAGGAATCCACCGTGAGGTAGGTTTATACTACTGTGGGTACTACACGAGCGGTTTTTCGGACTGAAATTTGTAGCGGCTAGGTTTTGTTCAGATCTGAACCTGAACCCTGAACACAAGGAATTATTGAGAATCGGGCCAAACGAAACAAACCAGCGCACCCAGTTGTCACCGACATATCATTGTCCTTTCACAATTTACATGGACGACCGTGCGTGAGTACGTAGTACCTTGACAGCAGTACATGACAAGGTAACATGATGATGATTCCCGATGGATGACAAACCAAATGCTGATTTCGGCGTGGACATGTACACACAGCTGGTTGCGGCGGCTTCGGTCCAGTAGCTAGTTCAGTTCCTGTGCCGGGCTGCGGCGACGTGGATAGTAGACCGTGACCGATTGCTGTGTGCGGTCGTCGTCCTAGAGTACTCGTTCCCCACATGGAAGTAGCAGTGCACCGCCGGACCACTGCTATATGGTATATTCTATCCGAGTCATGGCCGCCGGAAGCTAGGGAGGTAGTATACGCCTAGGCTGCCACAAATTTCCCGGCAGCCGCCGCGTCTGTTTGACGGCGAGCTGCGACTTGCACACGTCCACACGTGAAAAAAAAAACATCCATCAGGACCTACGACCGGCGCCTCTCATATTTTCTTACTGTATAATAATAAGGACCTACACTATCTTAGATCTGGACATCACTGCCGGTTCAAAAACCCACTTCACTGCCGGATTTTGAACCGACAGTGGCATACCGGCAGTGATGCGAGGTTGACATCACTGCCGGTCCTTAAAAACCGACACTGATCTACAGGAAACAGTGTCGGTTTCTAACTTCACCCGGCAGTGTCCAGTTGAATAACACTGCCGGTTTGTAGTGCCAACCGACAGTGACGGTTGCTTCAAGAGTGTCGGTTCTTGGCTCAAGCCAGTAGTGTTGAGCAAGACTACACTGTCGGTTCATGGATCAAACCGGTAGTGTTGTCGTAACCATCAGTGTCGGTTAGAAACAAACCGACAGTGTACCAGTTGAATAACACTGCCGGTTTGTAGTGCCAACCGATAGTGACGGTTGCTTCAAGAGTGTCGGTTCTTGGCTCAAGCCATTAGTGTTGAGCAAGACTACACTGTCGGTTCATGGATCAAACCGGCGAGATTATCAGAATCATCATCGCCGGTTAGAAACAAACCGGCAAATGACTGGCCATCGTCGGTTTGTTTCTAACCGCGATGATGATGTTACGACTAACACCGCCGGGTTTGTTACTAACCGGCGGTAATGGCCTGTTCGTATTTTATTGTTTTATAATTTATTTTAATTTATATTTTTTCGTGAAATCGGGTTTCGCTTTATATACGCTACGTAGACGACAGGTCCATCAATATTAAACATTACAAATGTTACGGTTACAATTCAAATGTTCTTATTCAGATCTCAATCCCTCAAAATAAAAAAGAACCATCAAAATAAAAAAGAAATGTTCTCGGACTTCACAGATTGTGCAATGTTTCTCGGACTTCTTACAATAATCTAGCGAGCCGCTCTGGGCCATACTGGTCCTTGTACTTCACGGATTGTGCAATGGAAAATACTCTATCTTTTTCCAATACCTCGGCTAAGATGAATTTTGCTAGCTCCGCTTGTAGTGCGACGATCTCCATGTCTAGCAGCCTTTCGTGCTTAAATTTCTTGCGCTGTCATTCAAAAAAGATAATATCCAAAGAGGAACAGTAAATCATTTTGTTGAATTATTAACAGACATAAATAAAATGGGGATTATACACACCAACTTATCGGCTTCTTCCGATTTCCCGCCGATGTAGCGAAGCATTGCCCACATTACATAAACCTGCATTCATTGTTTCCCGCCGGCTGTGATATGTACTTCCCCTCCATTTCGACAACCTTGAATGAGACCGACGTCCCACCGATATGTCTTCTTCGAACATTGAGCAACATTAAAAGGAGAAACATTAGAAAGCGGTATGTGTGATTAGAAAATAATGTTATTAGGATCGCTTACTAATTCAGCACTTCCACCAGTGCATCCAGATGATGAAATTGTTTTTTCTTCGAGTCCCACACCTCGAGCAGATTTTTAGCAAGATTAACACAACTGAAGACGAAATGGTTGCTGCAATTATAGAATCCTAATTATCGAATAATCTTAACAAAAAAAGAAGCATAAAATTAAAAGCCGAGAACACATACTCGCAGTTGTAGGCTAGAAGTATGTGGGTTTTCTTCTTCATCGTGAATTCATCGAAAACATCAATCAATCTCTGTTTCAGGTCTTCCACGTCACATCCATAGAGGCCTAGACATGTCCTCTCATTGACTCGCATGGGGGTCCAAGAAGCCTATGTAATCCCATTTGCTTTTTAGAATGCAAAATTTTGCTATACACCTACATAAAATCATGGGAAGTGCTCAAAAGTTAACAATTTATGTCTCGAGAGAGTAGTTAATTGTAATATCGTATGCGTGTAGGGTACTTACATAGTCCACAAAGATCAACAGCTGAACATCGAGATCGCGTTTACGTATAGCCGAAACAAGCACTCCCACTTCGACATCGAACTTCTCTTCTTCGTGATAATGAAAACATGTGGTGAACGGATAATAACCTCAAAACCAAAGTCCTCCGTCTCTGTTGTTTGAGCCATGTAATATTCATGCAACTGGCGCATATATGTTGTCAAATTTTTAAACTCGTGATCGAGAACCAAAAGATTGCCCCTTTCATACTTTATTGCCGGTGTTGCCGTCCCTTGTACATCATAATAGATGGCCGCGGCCTCTTCCATGGTTAATTCGGGGTTGTCTTCGACTAACTTCTGTATGTTCCTTAAATCTTTATTGTGTATTTCTTCGTCTCTTGTTGTAGCGTATTTATTCTGTGTTTGCCTTTTGAATTTGGACTTCAATAAAAACGGAGGCAGTGAGGCACAGAGATTAAAGAAACTAACACAATCTTCCTTCGAGATGTGTGCTGTAATTTTTTCTTTCATCAAGGTGGTAACGCTGCCACTGAAAGGCCTTTTTCTTTTTTGTTAGTCCACTTTGGGAGCATTAGCGACCGAATCCAAGGACCTTTTCTGCGACTGCGAGGATGTCCTTGATCTTGTTTTGGGCTGAGGTGGAGGAGGAGGAGGAGGATGACGATGACGAGAATTCTGTTTTCTCGGCGCTGATGAAGATGGAGGATGAGGAGGAGGAGGAGTCTCTTTTCTCGGGGCTGATGAAGATGGAGTCGGACGAGGAGGAATAGAAGGAGACCTCTGTCTTCTCGGAGGTGATGGCTCCAGATGAGGAGGGGAGTGATCTCTGTTAGGAGATGGTGAGTGATCATCGTCGGTGGGCGAAGACTCGTAGTCGCCCTCATCATCGAGAGGACAATTGGTGGTCAAGCTTAATAAAGCGTTTACGCCAGACCACTTGAGAGCCCTTGTTATGACCAAGTTTCAGCCTATCTTCCGCTACGGGGTACTCAATGGGTATCTCGTTATACTTCTTATGTGGAGCGAGTTCCTAAGATATGTGGAGCTCGGTGGCACACCATGCCAATACATGTTCTTCGACCCTATTATAAGGCACCTTCTCTCTGGGAAAGGAACAAGGCATTGCTCTGCTTCATGGGGCTCAAAGATCTCTCGTTCCTTCTACATACCGCTTAGTCTACCCGAGCATGGGATGGAGGGAATGCTAATATTCTTACTTGAAGATGGCAACGCCGCCGAGAATAATTTCTTTCTTTCCCTCGGTTTACGGCTTTCCGAGAGTACTAACATAGTTGGGGTTGTAATCGGATGCCCGGAGCTATTTACACCTCACATGAGCTCAATAGCCGAGACCGTGAAGACAAAGCTCACCCAGCTTACTAACGCAGGGACTTTTGGCCGGATGCCGATGCAGCTTATTCTCTGCTTTTGGGAGTGAAGAACACCGGGAAGATCTTCACACCATCCGTTATAAGTGGTTTCGACCCAACCCGCTTTGTTGTCAAGAAAAAGACCTTCGCTACGATGGTAGCAGGACAAGCTTGTCATCGAGCCATTGCCATGTGATGTATACT